CCCGCCGCTCCTCCGCGCGCCCGCCCCCACCACCGCTCTCTGTCTCCGTTTTTGTTCTTCTTAATTCCGGGCAGCGCTCCATTGAAATACCCTATAAGGCATTCCGGTAAAGCTGAAATGCAGAAGAATGCAGGGAACAAGGAAACGGAAGTATCGTGTAAAAGCATAGTGATTTCCGTTTTCTTCTTCCTCGCATTCTTCTGCATTTTAGGTTTCCCGGTATGCTTTATCAGAGCGGGCTAAGGGAGGGAAGGGTTCAGGAAGAACGGTAGTTGTTATACACTGCTGTAAACAAAGATATCAGGACGAGTGATACAGGACGAGTGATATTGCGATGCCAGTGTTACTTTTTACCAGTATAGCTTTACTTTCCACTCCTAAGTGTACTAATGCTACAACCTGAGGTACTACTCACAGTTGAAATTGTTAACATTTATTTGTATGAACAGGAGTATAGGTGAGAACTATATCTATAATGCTGGACTAAAATTTAGTGAATTTACTTGTAATCAGCTTATTTTAGCGTTGTGTGTGTCAATTTATGCGTTTTGGGGCCAACCCTTAACTTAAACTCTTTCATTTGTTTAACTTTAATGTTATAAACACTTTTTAGTATTCAAATATTCAGTCGAACACTTAAAAGTTTACAACCTTGTGTTGAACACTTGCATGTGCACGCCAGTTGCACTCTTCTTTGAGATATCGCGAAACCTGTTACGCGAGACGTGGTCTGGCGTACATCTACCTAGTTAAAATGGGCATTAGCTCGCTGGTTTTGAACGAAAATCTCTCGTTTCCCACTACACGGAAAAAATGACTTTGTTGTGGGGATCAGTTCTGTTTGGTAGGCTAAATAGACCGTTCCGACAGTGCGCTTTTTGAGAAGAAATGAAAATTCGGGACCGGAACCAGGACCTGAAGTGCGCTAATTTTTGTCATTTGAGAGAGCAGTTCGACCTGAATGACCTCGATTAAATCTCTAGTAACTGTTAATAGACCCTATTCGGTCTCGACTCCGGGAGAAGAAAACAGGAATCCCGACCGGTGTCGCAGTGGAATAGTACCCCGCACCCCCCCGGTACAAATCACCTAAGGTATTAGTACCCCCCGGTATAAACCCCCTAGGACATTTATACCCCCCCACAAGACCCCTAGGGTACAAATGCCCCAGGGGATTTACACCGGGGGGTCTAAATCAGTCAGTGATTTTATACCCCTTATACCAGGAGGGGGGTATAAATCCGTCAGGTGTTTTATACCCCCCCCCTATGCCGGAGGGGGGTGTAATATTGACGGGTCAGGGGATTTATACCGGGGGTATAAATCAGTCAGTGGTTTTATACCCCCCTATACCAGGAGGGGGTATAAATCCGTCAGGTGTTTTATACCCCCCCTATGCCGGAGGTGGGTGTAATATTGACGGGTCAGGGGATTTATACCGGGGGTATAAATCAGTCAGTGGTTTTATACCCCCCTATACCAGGAGGGGGTATAAGTCCGTCAGGTGTTTTATACCCCCCTATGCCGGTGATGGGGGGTATAAAATTGTCAGGACAGGGGATTTATACCGGGGGGGTATAAATCAGTCAGTGGTTTTATACCCCCCTATACCAGGAGGGGGTATAAATCCGTCATATGACGCCAAATCTTGCTGTCTTATGAGGCCAAAATGTGGTGTCTTTTAGGGTTTGGCGTTCATAGGATGCCAAAATTTTGCCTCAGAAGACGCCAATATTTTAGCGTCAGCACGCTACCCCATTTACACTGTATACAACATATTACACTGTAGTTCAAAGTGATACTTTTCACACATTTTCGTGTGATAAAACGGCCCGTGAGATTCCCACAATTTACTCTCCTGGGGAAGGGGTAAATTTTTATCACAAATTTTATGTGATGCCTATTGCAAAATAATGCGATGGTTTCGGATTTTGTACAAAACGGTGTGAATGCTCATCGCACAAACCTGTGATACATAAAAGTATCCGCTCAAATGAGTGATGGTCATCACAAATATAAGCAATGAATTTAATGTTGTACTTTTCCTGCGATGATCATCACAACATCGTGCGATATTTCTGTATCACAGAAAACGTGTAGTCTGTATCACACTCTGATTTACAGTGTAAGCATCATAAAACATGGAACTTTAAATTTTGTTGTTCAAAGAAAGTGGAATCTGGCTTCGGCTTGCGGTTGGAAGCCTCGTATTTCGTGTGCTTGGGTTACCTTTGTGGTGACTAACCAACCATGTGACCCATGTGCGTAATTGACCACAAACTGAAACACACTGAAAACTTGGCGAAGAATTTGTTGATTTGGTCGTATTGCAAAGGATTTAAGGTCTTCACATTGCAAACCAGGCAAGATTTTATAGTACAGACTTTCCCTCTTCTCTTCATAAATTTAAGCGACTTACAAGGGAACCGCGCCAAGTGTAAATTCCCGATTTTCATTCTACTTTGGAAAATTGTTGGTCTAAATGTGTCTTCGAAGGACACATCAATTTTTTTTTTGCTCAAATTCATATTTAGGGGTTGGGGCATTCGTTCCAAAAGCAAAACTGTCGTAATTTTCGCCCATACACTGTAAGTCAGAGTGTGATACTGACTGCACGTTTGTTGTGATACAGAAATATTGCACGATGTTGTGATGATCACTGCCTAAAACTCATTGCTTGAATTTGTGATGACCGTCACTTATTTTAGCGATACTTTGAGGTATCAGAGTTTTCTCTTAATGTGTATCACACCGTTTTGCGATTAAACCGGAATCATCGCATTATTTTGCAATAAGTAGTATCACTCAAAATTTGCGATAAAAATTCATCACTCATGTCACATCATTCATGTCTCCGGCCACCTTACCCTTCTTGTAATTTGACAATTTCACAACACATACTAAATTCCATTTTGCTTTCTGTTGCAGCTTGGCCGTGCTGGTAACGACGGACGGAGTGCCGCTTATGGGCCTCCAGGTGCTCTGCGACGGCGCTCCCCTTAGCGCCGTCTCCACGACAGACCCGTCCACCGGTTTGTCGAACCTCAGGTTCGTGGCGACCAAGGCCGGCCGCATGACCTTCCGGCTGGAAAACGCAGCGGTGAAACCGGCGCTAAGTTTCCGGCTGCAGCGAGCGGAGATGGGCGTCGACGACTCATGGGCGGACCTGACGGCCGACCGCATTAAAGGTGAGTAGCCTGAATGCACCTTGGCCTGGCCCGGCCAAGTGCCTGGATCGCGTGGCTGCTGGCTGCCCCGATAATGCACCGGGCTAGTTGGCTCAGCCAATAAAATCCAATTTAATTGGCTGAGCGATAGCATAGCCTATTACTCAAGTGATGATCAAAACGTTTCACGTCTGTCTGTTTGTAATCACGATAATTCGAGAACGGACGAGAACGGATTGGAAGCTCCAATTTTCAGGGTAACTTTGTATCTTGGAGAGTCCTAGTTTTACATAGGTCAACCTGAAAGTCCGAGGAGGGTGGAACTGGACGCAAAATGTGTACATCGGGAAAAACAATCGCACACAATCCGAAACAATCACATACAATCACGAAACAATCACACACAATGAAATCAAAATCTGACACAATGTTGCTAAATGTATCACAATATTTAGCCGACCATCTGAAACAATCTGAAAAAAAAAATGAAAAAAAATCCGATCGGAAACAATCACTAGGGTAAGGTGCCCTATTGTGGCCACTGTCCCATTGATGGCCACTTTTCTCGATTTCCAGCCAATCTGGTTACTTTAAAATCTCGGCCTCGAAGTAGTGTTCTAGTAAGGTCCCTACTTGGGGCATAATAAGCCAAACTACTTCACAGGTTTTCTTCGTAGGTGCACTTGGGAGATATTCGAGAATGTGCACCCACTAACTTGCGTGAAAATCACGCTGCTAGCAGACGCTTGCGTGAAAATCACGCCGGAGGCGTGAAAATCACGCTTGCCCCAAAGCTGATTTAGCTGAAAAGAACGGCATAGCCCCACGTCGGCCTGTTATTGGCTGTTTCATAAAGTCAACTGCTAACCAAAACAACTCTTTTTACGCTAACTGCGTGAAAATCACGCTCGCATCCTGTGAACTCCGAATCCACCTTTAAGGTGGCCATCATAGGGCATCTTTCCCTACATTGAAAACAAACACTCAAAATCAAAAACAAACACTCAAAATCAAAAACAAACACACACAATCGAAACCAATCACACAAAACCAAAAACAATCACACAAAATGGAAAACAATCATGACACAATTTCTAAAATAATGTCCCCATATTTATCCAAAAATCTGAGACAGACAATCGTCATCACAATCATAATCACACACAAGCACAAACAATCTGAAACAATGATTGTCTAGACACAATCATGCGTACACTTTTTTGGTCAGTTCCACATCCATCGTGATAGTTGTACAATCACCTGCCGTTGAGAGCCCCACATTCTGGCAAAGCAGTATAAAAATTGTCTGTTTTCGTGGCGCATGTTGGGCGTTTTTTGTGGAGAACAGTAGGCAAGATATCGGAAATATATCCTTGAATCTAGATTCTAGAAGGTCTAACCTTTTCAGCGATCCCTCGGAAGCTATAATCCGGTTAACCGTTTTCGATTTAGGGGTTTTATAAGTAGGAAACACCAAAGTGTCCGACATAAGGGCGCTAGTCTGAAGTTAGGCCATGACTACGAATATTGGTGCCATGTTCATTGTGGTGCATGTCAGAGATTAAGCTCCCTTTTCATTTTAGGTATTTACTACCCAAGCAACAGCAAGTAGTCTACTTCCACCGCTAAAGAAAATCAGGGTATAATTTTGGCAGTATTTTCATCATTATAAATCTTAGAATCAATGTCAGGGTTGCCACGCGTCAGGTTAATCAGGATTTTGTCACGGTTTTTAAAAGTTGTCAGGATATTTAGGATAATGTCAGGATTTGGAGGTACACTGTAAAACTTTAAGTCGTCACATTACGACAAAGTCACTGCTTAATTTTACTCATGAATGGTTCGTCACAAAGGGTGAGATAACTGTTTTGTCACGTGATAACTTATTCGTGAGATCTGATAAATTTGCTGTGTCGTCACATGATGGTATGTCATGTGATAAATATTTCGTCACTTGGATGCGGGAAATTTTTTAAAAAAGAAAATGTTTGAAATGAAAGTTGCGTACTCTCATTTCCCATATACACAAACTTCAACTTACATAATAAACTTCTACATACATGGGCATTGAATTTATGATAGTATTGGATTAAGACATATCACAACATATCCTGCCGAAAAACATTCTTGTAGACAATACATTACCAAATAGAAACGTTGACCTGAAACTATTCCTCTTTAAATTCTTTACAATCGAATTTCTGTTGCAGTTATAAGGGAGCAATAATATTAGTGGAATCGTCACCAATGGTTGCAATTCTGAGGAGTCTTGAATGTAAAGCAAAAATTCGTGGTAACTTGCAACATGTCATGCATCTATTGCATCTATTTAATTTAATGTATCTGACAATTCCAAAGCCAAAACACACTCACCTAGCACTCACCAATCTTTTTGAAATTAGCTGACTAAGTTACAATGGTTAGGTGCTCCTGAATATAGCTGCTAGCAATGCTCACAATTTACTTGCTAAGTATGGAATTCGGAGAGACATACCCACAATCACATCCATAGGTTTAAAAACACTACAAAAATAGCAACAGTGGCGAGGTTGCAGCTAAAACCAAACCAGGACGACAGTCATTAACCTATCAGACACACAAAAAAAAAATTAGTCACAAGAGTGTGGTTAGGCACTGTCTGTTTACCTGATTAAGTGTTGTGAAATATCGAGTTTGAAGCACAGCTGTATCGAGTGCTTTGCTCACAGAATGTTGATAAAAGTACAGATAAACCACAATTTATAATATCGAGTGCTTTGTTTTCACAGAATGTTGATACAAGTACAGAGGTACCTAAACCACAAATCAAAGTTCACCACTCTAAATCATTTCTCTTACTACGTTGTACCCGACTCGAAAACCGTCTGTACAACGCGTTTTGGATCCATTATTTTCAGTATTTTTCAATCCTAAATTGGGAAATATTTAGAACGCCTGCCGCTAAAATGTTGCCATGCTGAATGGAAAAGAATCAGCAGACGAAAGTAAGCAACTATATGATTCGGCAATTTCTCATTACTTTGTTCTGCGTACTATGAGCGCGGTTATTTGCAGTTCAAAAGAACCGGCGGTCCCGTTTGCAACAAAAGTATACGTCCCATGAAACAGTCCGAAAAAGAATTATTCGCGAATGGCAACTAACTACTGTAACAACGCCAAGTGTACCAAATTCATTCCTTCGTGTGTGGATATTTTGGAAGGCAACTCCCCTTCGGAAACCTTACCTTTTGCTTCTGTCAATTTGGCTCGATGAGGTTAAAGTTTCTCAATCACCAACAAGGTCAGGAAATGCAGACATGGTCATTAAAGGAATACTAGGAGATTTTAATCCTTACAAGTAAGAGGTTCAAAGAAAATAATGACTAGTTTAAGTTCCAACTGTACACTCTATTTAAAAGGAATGTTTTTTTTAACTTGTTTACTTTATTCTGATTCTCAAATGAATCTCAAACCTTCAAAACATATATTACTTAATCAGTGAATAGTTGTAACAAAAAGCGTAGGAGACATCATTAGAACAAGTGAAAAACAAGTGAAAACTAGTTGCAGTAATTATATCGTTTCCAAACATATTTATTGTTTCGGATTGTACTGCTACTAATTTTTGATAACTTGTGACGAATAATCTGATGTATTTGGGACTATTGGTGTGTCACGTGACGAATGGTTCATTTAAATGAAATGACAAATGCTACATCACATTGTGACGAATGTTTCTTGTGATGTGACGATTGTTTTATCTCAGCCCCTGTGACGAATAATTTGTAGCAATATTTGTCGTCACATGACGATGCAGTTTAACAGTGTAAAAGTGTCAGGATAAATTGTTAGAACCGATTATCGCCCTGATACCGAGGGGCCCCCAACTGTGGTCTGCCGGTGTACACATGATGTAGGCTTCCCGGTTTTCCTGAGTTTTCCTTGGGTTTCCCTGGTCGTCTAGAGGTTTTCTTGGTTTTCTTACGTGTTATTCGGTCTTCCTAAGTTTTTTTTTCTTGCTTTCTTAAGGAATATCAAGGCTTCATTAGGTTTTCTTCGATTTTCTCTTGGTTTTCCTGGGTATTCTCTTGGTCTTCCTTGATATTCTCTTGGTCTTCCTGGCTTTCAATGTTTTCCAACTTTTCTGGTCTCTCAAGAATTTTTCTGGTCTTCCGACGAATTTCTCAGTCTTCTGTAATTCAAAGTGTGATACTTTTCACACATTTTCGTGTGATACAATACCCGGAGTGATTCCCTTGATTTATCACTCCTGGGGGAGTGATGAATTTTTAGCACAAATATTGTGTGATACTTAACGCAAAATAATGCGATGATTCTGGATTTATTGCAAAACAGTTTGATGCACATTGCACAAAACTATGATGCCTCGAAGTATAGCTCAAATAAGTGATTGTTATCAGAAATGTAAGCAATGAATTTAATCTTGTACTTTTTCTGCGACGATCATCACAACATCGTGCAATATATCTGCATAACAGTAAATGTGCAGTCAGTATCACAGTGTGATTTACAGTGTATTGTCACACTTTGTTAGAGCTCTGACAGCGCATTTTCTAACACCACCGATTTGTACAGAAACTCGGAGTAGTTTGTCACTAATTTTTTGTACTTCTTGCTGATCTCTCTCAGACACACTGTAAAAAATCGCGGGTAACTTATTGTGTCCTGAAAGCCCACAATCTTTTGAAATCTGGACTAGTAAACATGTTTAGCGTTGCCAATGCGTTGCCTCTAGTTGAAATAATGCTACACTCAAAACAAGGGCATCATTAGCTGCAGTAGATCATAGGCTTTCAAAAGCTGAGTTGGTGAAATTTCTAAGCACATTGGCTTCAGAGGAGATAGCTTCGCCAGCCAGCGCGTCACACATTTTAACGTACTTAGTTGCTACTCCATTATAGTTCTACTCCATGCAAACACGATTGGCGGGAGGGGACGGGAGCGGTGCCCCGGCTCGTCTCGTCCCTTCTCCCCTCGCCCAGTATTGGTCGACGCCAGCGCCACTGGCAGCTCGTCTGGTA